AGAATCACTCTGCCTCCATGACCGAAGTTACCTGAGATGGCTGATGTGTCACAAGCTGTTTTTTTTTTTAATCACTCTCCAGTTCGATACTTCAAGACACACAGTTACTCAATGTCAAACTGTGACGACAAGTATTATGTTTATCTAGTTAGAGGCTAATGTTTTGTACATTTTTTGTATGAGGAATTGATGTAGCTTGCCCTGATTTTTTTTTTTTTTTTTTTTGGTTAGCTTTAATATATTTATGCCAGAATTTTAAACCAACAAAAATTTCTTCTTGTTCAAGTGTGCATTGAAGAACCACATTTATTCAATGATTGATGTTGTTTTGTGATATTTGTACACAACCCTTCTTTTCTCAGTTTTATAGACACAGAAATAAAATTAATATAACAATTCACTTTAACCTTTTATTACCACAGTTGCTGCCTCCTCCAGAAGTTTTAAATATTAATGAAAGTTAACCTTTGAGTTTCAGGGAGGACAATGTTGGTTAAAGGTAAATCTCAAAATCAATTGTACAGGAAGAAATATTACTTTCAAAAAGAACTCTGTGTTCTGATCTCTACACATGTTATTGCATTCTAAGTTTAAGTAATGTATTAATGAAGTCACCTAGTTACACAATTGGCAGAAAATCCTGGATTTGAGGACTGTTAGGGTTATTATGATTCTTTCTTGGATAATCGTCTCTCCCATCTAAGAAACTCAAGATCTTTCTGGAATTATGTCCTTGGGCAGACAGGTGACACTGCAGCCTTCTTTCTAAAAAGCAGCCAGCACCAGCCTTCCCTGTCAACTCAAGTTTTGTATATCATATTGTATGGACTTTATATGAAAATGAATATTTTACAGTTTGCACAGTATTATTTTACAGAAAGGTATCAGAGCATCTACAACCCAGAGCCCAGAGCAACAGCCTGACTTTGTGGCTTTTAACTGTTCTAGACTTTTCACTGCATCTCATTTTTCTAGCATGGTAATAACTGACGTGTAACTCCTTTAAGAGAGGAGCTCTTTTGTCTGTATCTATCTGAATGTTTTCTTGACACTTCCATGTTGGCTCTTCTTACCTTTTTTTGTACATATTTTTTTTTTTTCTAAAGAGAAGATAAAAGTTATCACGAAATGTATTCTGGCTCATGTCTTTTGTTTTAAGCTTCATTCACTGGGCAAAGGTATTTGAAGAGTTACAGTGAAGAGACCTCAGTAAGTATTCATCCTTTTCAGTTCCATGCCTACTGAGATAAATCCTAATGGATGCTGTACATATCAGCTCCTATATTAGAATACAGGTCTGCCTGACTCCAACTTCTACTATTTCCATTACATCAGGGGTCCCCAACCACCAGGCCGTGTGATGGTACCGATCCGTGACCTGTTAAGAACTGGGCCGCACAGCAGGAGGTGAATGGCAGGCCAGCAAGCGAAGCTTCATCTGTATTCGCAGCTGCTCCCCAGTGCTAGCATCACCACCCCAGCTCTACCTCAGCTCATCAGGCATTAGATTCTCATAGGAGCACTGGTCCCTGGTGCCAAAAAGGTTGGGGACTGCTGCACTATATCAAGATGCCTTCAAACCAAGTCCACATTTTTTCAAAGGCTTTCCAATGTGATATACCTACTTCAATAGTTCAGGGGATGGTATAGGTGAAGAAAGTACATCATGAGAAGGGTGCATACTGCTTATGAGAAGAAGAATTTGTAAACTCTGAGCTTCCCGATCTTGTAGAAGCTACCTAAGTGTAACGTTGCCCAATTTCAGAGTGATTCCTTTTCTAAACATATTTTGGGATTTTTTTTTTTCAGATCAGCAATAAGAGCTCAATTCTATTTAACTATTCATGATAAGACATTCTGGAAAATGTCAGGCTATATTAGTTTTACATTAACCATTTATTGTTTCAATGAGAGACCTTTTAAATGTCTGACTACCAGATGGCATTTCCAAGAACTTAAGTCAAGTTGACAAAGTGTGTGTTATCCATCTATTCTCTCCGGTTTCAGTCTGGAAGGACTTATTAGAAATGTTCCGAGATCTCTATCCAGAGAACCCAATTTCCTGGCCTTGGGCTTGGGGTTATTGGCACTTAACTGAGTCATGCTCCACAGGACACCACAACCACACTGAGGCACTTGGAACTAAGGTGCATCTCCGGGCTCACATCCCTAGGACCCCTGAGCCAGTCTGATTCCTTCCATTATGCCATGGCAACCTTAGCATCACCCCCAATTAGCCACAAGTCACTTCACGAGCCTCATATTGACCTTTCAAGCCTGCCATTTGAGATTCATGTCTTAGGGCTAGGGATGTCTCCGCTTGGGCCACCCACCAAGGACAAAGCCCTCTGTCTAATGGGCAAGTGGTCACTTAGCCTCAGAAAGAATGAATTCTGCAATGAGCTTTACTTCCTTTTTTTAAGGAAAGCTTAGAGGAGCCTGAGAAGTCTGATTCTCTGTGAGAAGGAAGTGGGAAGGAACAAAAGAAAGGCTAATCAAGTCTGTTGACATAAGAAACCTCACGAGACTATTAGCGCCTGAGGATATCTATGACATTTTTCACTTTTTTGATTCAATGCTCAGAACAGGGCCTGACACAGAGCAAGCAGTTAAAGTGTGTCAAATAGATGGATTCCAGACATCTTCCCAAATTGGCCAAAGGAGACTTGACTCATTTGGAAATGAAAAGAATATTTAGATACAGGAATAATAATGGTGAGGAAACTGCACTCAGCAGTTACGAACACATGGGAGCATCTCTTCATACATCCTAACAATCTTCTTGTTAGGCTGTGATAGACAGAAGGGCTGAATGTAGCTCTAGTGAATTAGAGAATGCAAACAAGCATAATCGCATACACCGAGGGAGAGTGAGTATCACTGGCATGACTTAAAGAGCATAAGAGCCAGGAGAAGCACTTCATTTCAAAAATTTGACGTGATTTCCCTATTGTATGCAACCACCCGTACTTCTCAAGAATGTTAAGTATCTTGGAAGCAGACACAGCAAATACTAAATTGCCCTAGTCTATTTTAAAGAATAGGTTATATTAAGGCTATTATACTATTTCTGCCTTGCTGAATTCAATAAGTGTACTATATAGTCTGTTGGGAATTTGAAATGAACACCAAACCTCTTGCTTGCATCCCAGTTCTTGATCCAGATGCCCCAGGATCAATTGATACATTCATTCCTTCAGTAAGTATTTAATGAGCATCAATTATTTGTCAGGGGTCATGCTAAGAACTGAGAATATGCAACAAAATTAATTGACCCACTTCTTATCTTCCTGGAACTTAAAGTGGAAGGAAAGGAAAACAACCACAAAACAACATATAATTAGTACTTTGAAGGGGACCCGATTTAGATAGGGCAAGATTGAGTGTTATCAGGAAAGGCTTCTTTAAAGAAGTGACATATATGTTAGAATGAATAGGAAGTGACTAGATAGAAAGCAGAGAAAAGCACTTGAGGCCAAGGGAACAGCATGTGCAAAGATCCTGGGGCAGGAAAGAGCTTTACACATGTGAAGACCTGAAGGAAAGCCAGAATGACTGGGGTGTAGTGAGAAACATTTGATGGTGCTAGAGAGCATGTTGGATGATTTAGAAGCCTCGTTATGGATTTTGGAATTTATCCCAAAGTAACAGGAAGTCCTTAGTGGACAGAGAACTCTCAGTAAGCAGGAGATGGCTTCTCCACATTACATCTGATCATGAAGTACATTATGTCTAACTGGCCATTTTTAGAGATGCTAAGTTTGATCGGTGGGTTCAGGTGGTTACAGTCTGACCCCTTCATTGCAAAGTGACATCATTCCTTCCCCCTCTTTATAACCAGAAAGTTATCTAAAGGATGATACTTTGTGCTTAGGGTTTAAGCGGGGGAAGGAGAGGGGAAGTAAATTAGAAACTACTTAGAAATTTAAAAAATAAGAACACTGCATATCAAAAAGCCGGAAAAATAAACACAAAGATCACAGAAAGAATGTATTTCTTTTAAAGAAACAGAAATTGATGCATCAGGAAAAAATAGATTTGACCAATAAATAAACCAAAAGCTGTTCTTGGAAAAGATCAATAAAAGAGACAAATATTTTACAAGTCAGACTGAGAGGAAAAAGAGAAAGCATACAAATAAACAACAAGGAATATATAAAAAATCATAAGGGGAAAACGTGTTCCAGAAAACATAGGCGAAATTCTGAGAAAATATAAATGATCAGATTGGCTCCATATTAAATTTTAAAACCCAAATGAATCAATATGAGAAATTGATTTATTAAAATTCGATGAATAAGTAAAATTATTTCATTAATGAATGTAATTCACCACATTAACAAATTGAAAGAGAAAGCATTTTGAAAATAATAATAGCTAACTCATATTTAAAAAAAAATTATGTGCCAGGCTCTATTCTAAGAGCTTTAAATATGTTAACTCATTTAATTTCAATAAATGCTACAAAGGCACTTGATTAAAACTGCAAAAATAAATATATTTTAGGAATAAAAATAAATATATTTTAGGAATAAAAAATTATCTACTGGCGATCTATAGCAAGTGTTATGCTTGATGATGGTATCAGAATTTTCATATCAAATGTCAAAAACTCAACTCATAATAGCTTAAACAGAAAACATTTCCACAAGTAACTTGGAAGTTCCAGGGAATTTATTTAGAATGATAATACCTGGATCAAGGTATCTCTCACAGGGGTACAAAAGATTACTCCATTTGCAATGGTATCATAATTTTGAAATAACAACATCTTCTGGTGCACATAAGAGTCAATTTACAAAAATTCAAAGTACACACAAATTTGTTAGAAATACTTCAGATGCACCTACACCTTTGTCATTTGATTTTGTCCAGTTTCCTCCCAGGTCATTCAAGATGACTGTGAATACAGAGAAATCAGAAGAGCCCCCTCTCCTCGCCACATCCCTGCCTAGCCTCGTTTTTATTCTCCCAACCCCATCACCACCCTTAGCCTTTGCTCAGAGTTGGCTTCTGGCCTGACTGAGGTGCTGCCTGAAGAATTTCTGGATCTCTCCCCAGGCGTGCTCCTGGGCTGCCGCGTGAGCAACAGGGTCCCCTCCCCAGAGCAGGGGTACGGAAAGGTGGTTGTTTTGGGAAGCATAGCACAGGGGTGCATAGGGCGGCTCTATGAGGTGGCCTGCCCCAGGGTAGACCAGCATCCTTCCATTGCTTCTCCCGTGGCTCCGCAGCTGGTCCAGGGCCTGCTTAGCATGTTCTCTGCTATTCGATGATTCGTCATCCTCTCCTACAATGAAGAGGATCTGACCCCCCGCCTTTTCAACAGGAAGCACACTCTGCTGATTCAATTTATCCCGGGGGTCACCCCTGTAGTGGCGGAGGCGCACAGCCCCTGAGACATCGATCTGCATGCGCTCCAGAAATGAGGGGATGGGTGTAATAACCAGGTTTCTGTACCTGAGCGGAAATTCAAAGATAGCATTTGGTCCATTGATGCAGACGATGGCTACCACTTGCTTCAGAAAGCAGGCCATGGCCAGCCCAATCTCTGCACCTTTGCTCACAGAGATCACTCCAATTCCTGGCCTTTGGATCTGAAGTACAAAATAAAGGGGACCTGTTACAGGCCATATTCTGAGAAGGATCTGTCACACATGCTGTAAGCTAGTATGATGGACAATCAGGAAATGTGAGGTGGGAGTCCTGGCACTCGGGTTTACCAGATTCTGTGACCAAAAACACCACCTCCTTACCCTTCACAAGCCTTATTGCCTTATGGGGGCGATAATATTATCTACCTTCCAAATTGTTAGGATCAAGTGAAACAATAGAAATAAAAACTTCATGAAAGTTCTATAAAAGGATTTAATGCACCAGCAACACTCTACATTAAAAGAGCAGAGGTAAGTAAGCTTGCTGAAGAAGCAAATTCTTCTCTCCAGAGGTTTCCTGGGTTCTTTCAAATATTATATTCGTGTAATTCATAGTTAAATAGCCTTTTAAGGCTACAAAGGTTTTGCACATACGTTAACCCAAAGGCTAATCCTGAAAGCCTTGAGGGGCAGAGGAGGGGTGTAATGAGGAAAGATTTGAATTCTACCTACAGCTGAATTTCAGTATCCAGTTCAATAGGAAAAGTAGTAAGTCTCAGGAGAGAGTCCTACGTTCTGTGATAGGCTGAGGAAGCAGAGGGGAAGGAAAAGTCTAAGAGACGAAGAAGGACAGGACAGGCATTCTGGACAGACAATGGCAAAGACATAATGACCTGGTATATTTATTTTGTTCATAATTGTGTTCCCAGCACCTTACTGTCATCAGAATCACCTGGGAGAAAAAACTTTTTAAAGTAGAGCTTTCCGAGATTCAGTATTTCAAATTTCTACTTCAATATGGCTGAGTAGGCCCAAGAATCTAATACTACAAAATATTTCCTAAGAAATCCAACGAAATCCAATGTACATCCACATTTGGAAACTATCTGTGTGAGGAATGGATGGGGGAATGAGGGAGAAGGGTTGTAACTGGAGACAGGAAATTGATTAATACACAATTGCAGTCTCACAGGTGAGCAATGATAAGAGAATGAACTAAAACATTGGCAGGAAGGATGGAGGGAATATGATGTATTGACAAAGATTCAAGGGTAAAACCTAAAACGCTTTGGGATTGGTTGAGGAGTGGGGAAAGGGAAAGGGAAGACACCAGATGGACAAAGATGACAAGATGGATTTATTGAGAGTTTACTATATGCTAGACCCTAGGCTAAGTGCTTTACATACATTATCTCAGTCCTTCCAAGGGAACTGAGATTCAGGAAGTTTAAGTTTTGCTCAAGTTTACAACAATATCAAGAGGCAGAGGGGGGAATTGAATTTTTTCTGCTAAATTTAAATCCAAGTTGAATTTTGACAATTGCCCTTTCCCTCCAGACGTCACAAATGGTTAAATTTGAAATGAAAAAAATTTAACATGATAACATTTCACAGGGGATTTAATTCCTTTTAGGCAATCTTTCAAAAAGAGCCAAATATGCTTAGAAAAATCACATATATATTTGATGATGATAATGATGGTAACACTGAAGATAAGGATACTGATGATGCTCCAATAGGAAACATATCCTCTCTTGCCTTAAGAAAAGTTGAAGCTCTCCAGGGAGAGAAGAAAAGTCAAAGAGTCAGGATGACTGAAGGTTTGGAGCAAAGATTTTGCCAGAGGGCTCTGTCACCTACTAGCCATATAGTTTTGGCACATTACTTCATCTGAGTATGCTTTCTCATCTGACATAGTGAGGATGATGTCAGCAGTACTTCACGAGAGTTTTGTGAGCATTCAATGAGATAGTGCCTGTAAAGAACTTAGCATAGAGTCTAACAAATAATCACTTAATGTTAGCTGGTGTGATTATCTTACCACTGTTAGATTGAACCATAAGAAATCATTTGAATATTTTTTAACTAGAAGACTTTAAGCTAATATGGTTCGACTTAATAGAATGTCACCCTTGACACCCGACTAGATGATACGTATTCCTATGTTTCTTCTGATAGACATTACCACAAATATCAGTATTTTGGGACCTCATGAGGGGTACTAAATTGTAAATCATATGATATTTAATTCCTAGAAAAAAGAGTTATGAGATGTACTTTTTCAGTCCTTATCAAATTTGAATGTGCATACAAACCACCTGGGAATCTTGTTAAAATGTAGGTACCGATTCAGAGATGGGGCTTGAGAGTTTGCATTCAAACAAACACTCTTAGGTGATGCGAAGGAGTCCATCGTCTTCATTTTCAACAGTACAACAAGAGAGAGTTCTAAAATGACCCTTCCTTCCCACATTCCTTTCCCTAGCCTAGCTCCTGACATTGAGCGCTTACTTCAGGCTTAGTTCTGCTCCTAGATCTGAAACTAACTAAAGAGCTTATTCAGCTAATCAGACGGTACAACCAAGTCAGTTTTGCTGGTAATCTTGCTCTGATGCCGTGGCCCAGCTCTAGCACTGAACTTCTGCGTTGTTCTCAGCCTCAGGGCTCCGTAGTGTGACTTACTCTAGCATTACCCCATGCTGAGATAATTATTAAAGTGTGAAAACATGTCAAGCCAGAGAATTCATGATTTGAGTGAGATTGGTGGCAGACAAAACATTGAAGAGCCACTTGTGAATAAATTACAAGCACTTTAAGTGTAAGAAGTCTTGGCTTGTTTCCCATTGAAAATAACCATAATATAGCTATCCTTTTTTATTGTCTTTGTGCCAATAAGCACTAAGTTGATCTCTAACCAACTCCACAGTCCTACAAGGTAGATATTAGCATAGTAAACTTTGCTATGCCCAAGTCTAAACAGATTGGTAAAATAGGCAGAATAGATATTCGTAAAATTTTTTTGTCTTTTACTGTGATGTTGCAAGGTAAAATTAAAAGTACTTTAAATACCTTGGGGTGAGCTAGTAGTAAGTTGGCAGCTTCCTCGAAATAGTCCAGGTCCACCTCCAGCAGGTTGGGCAGGTCTTCATAGGCAAAATATGCTAATGCCAGCACTGCAAAGCCGTGGGCAGCCAAAAGACTGGCTCGAAATTCAACTAGACCCCCAAAGCCCCCAAACAAATCAATGATTCCCGGGAAAGGACCTTCTCCTGAGAGCAAAAAAGAGAGAAGAGAATGGGATCAGAAAGAGTAAAAAGAGGGTCAAGTAGAGGCGGAGCAGTATGAATCCCCACCTTCATTCACTAAGACACAATGGCACGTTAGTCATAATAGATTGTGGGAAGTAGTAGTTCTCCACGAGTTTGATGCCGTTTGTTTTTGCTTCTATTTCTTTATTGCAACGAACAATGGTTTCTCTACCGCCAAAGATTAGTCTCACCTGGAGGGAGGAAAAGGGCTCCTCGCACCCGGCCTTCTCGGATCTGCACGCGCTGCGTCCCAGGGCTGAAGAACCAACGCTGCACCACCTGGCTGGCCCCGGGCTCAACCGTAGCTGAATATTGGAAGCAGACTGAGTTGTACAGGTTCAGAGTGACCAAAAAAGGGCTGCTCATCACATCCCTCTTAAGCAGCCTTCCAAAAGGCCTCTCGGGCTTCAAAGACCAGAAGAGGCCCATGGGATGGACCCCCACGTAGTCGCCTCCGAATGAAGGCGCCTGCTTCAGGTCCAGCTCGCCAGCCTCGTTAGCCCTGTAGAAGGCTTTAGAGCGGAATAGCTTCCCCGTTTCATCCTTCAGAGATGCTGTAAGGGTCACCATCTGCAACGGGGCCAGGCCTGTCGCTCGGATGTGTACTGGCTCATCCGCAAGGGCACTTGCTGGCGTGGCTGTCAGCTGGAACATGGATAACTGGCCAAGGGGCCACGCGGTATTTCCTGCCCTGGTGGAAGAGGAGACTTTGAGTTGGAGACTTATATTCCAAGGGCTAGACAAGGCCTACCTGAGGTCTGGCCAAGTTAGACTTCTGGAGACAGGGCAAAGCACGCAGAACACTGGGAGGAGGGAGAAGACATGAGGAGAATACCCATTATTCTCGTTTTACCTAGGAAGAAACAGGGTGAATGGCATGCTCAGTCTCACAAGTAATTGATAGCAGAATGAGAAATTAAAGCTGGGTCTGACACTTTCGTGTCCTGTCTTACCCATTATAACGCTGCAGTAAGTCTTAGTTTTGTGGTTTTCAGTAAATTGAGCTTTAATTCCTCAGTTGGGATAATACCCATGTGACCAGTTTCACAGGGTGTTTGTTAAAACCCAAAGGGGTGATTCATAACAAATAGCTTATAAGAAAGATCCGAGCTGCTTTTCAGTCCTCAAACCTACCTGAGATGCAATTACATAAACAAGAACTATGTTGTGGAGGTGTTTATATTTTTTAGTCTCTAATCTCTTTTTGCCCTTGTAAGACCAAACTCCAGCTCTTTTCACAGTTCCTATGTGCTCTTTTTAAGAGAAGATAAAACTGTATGATTTTGTTTCAGCTTTTCTGCCTTTTCAATGGAGTGATAAATGTCAAAATGTTTGTAATAAAGAGACTGTATTATACATTTGATCAGCCATTTCTTACTCTGCTCAATTATGAGGAAGATTCGGGGTGTTTCTTTCTTATTTTCCTTCCATCCTTTCACCCTTCTTTCTTTCCTTTCTTCTCTCCTTCCTCCTTCCCTTTCTCCCTCCTTCCATTTCTTCCTTCCTTCCTTCGTTCCTTCCTTCCTTTTTTCTCCTTCTTTTCTTTCCTCTATACCTCAGTCTACAAAGGATTTGAATCTGTTTACAGATAAACAAATAAAGAGTAAAAACAAAATAGAATCTGGGAAAATAAGAACTAGAATCAGAGGCATTGGTCAAAAAAACCTTGGAGCATGATAAGTACAGCATTTTGTGGGCTATAAGTTTGGTGCTGAATTAGTGACAGCCAAAGGGAAAAAGGCAACCTGGTCAGTTCCGTGGCTCCAATTATTCTCAGAAAAAAACTTACAAGTTCCTCAGGAGAAAGGAAAAAGTGAAGCTTTTCTAAAATTTAGCTCTAAAGAAAATTTCTCACAGGAGACTTTGACATAGGCATGCACCTTTTTTATTTTTCAACAAGATCTTCACACAAATTGTCGCAATCGGTGTCCCTTCAAAAAGCTTGATTCTTCAAGAGATGCTTAATTTTTTATGGAGGAATACAAAATAAAAGCTTTAGGGTTTAGATTTATGAGTAGAAAGCTTCTGGAGAAAATAAAATGGCTCTGACCTTGCAAGGACAGAAAAGCAGCTCTTGATGCCCAATACTTTACTGTAGAAAGTTGTTGGAGGTAGATGCTAAAGGGAAAAATGCCTTTTTGCTCTTACTATGAAAAAGTAATTTACAAAAGAAAAAGTGATTTTCTGCACAGCTCACACTCCCAACCTGATCCCCTATCAAAAACCAGCAGTACTGACCATTTAATATAAACTTAAACTCATGGTCAACGGATTAATTTTGAATTAATTAAATGATTCTGAATGTTTTCCTGCAATACGGGGAAAGTTTTTGACAAAAGAAGGTGGCATCAATTTAAACTTTCATTCATGTTAGGGAGATGGGGCACATAACATTTAAAAAAAAAAAAAGTACCCCATGTCCCAAGCAACATTTTGATGCTCTGTAGGTATTTTCTGATCTGATCCTTCCTGTATGCCTCTGTATCTGTGTTTCCTTTGTCCCCCCAAAAGAGATCATTAAGAAAGAATCATTGATTTAAACGATTTTACAAATGCTTTCCCAACTTTTCTTGTTATCATTCTGCTTCTCAAAACTTTTATACAGTGTAATGACACAACACAGATTTTATTTCCAAGTGGAATTAATTTGAATTGCGTACCATACCCCTCTCCCTCGTGCATCCTGCATCTGATCTGATCCCCCCAAGGAGACTGCAAACTCCTCAGGGACAGCAACTATGTGTGAAAACTCTAGAGATCCTATTGATACTAATGTAGCAAATCATACACTGTACATACTTAGGAGTTCTGAGATTTATAACTAACAGGAAAAAAATTTACCAAAAATGTAATTAAAATACTCTACTTATATCAAGCTTTTGTAATATAGAATACTGGGGTTTCTGCTCAGTCATGGTTTCTCTTTATCTGAGAATTACCCTCCTCAAGCCCAGAGATGGACACTCAGCAGCTATGTTTATACTATGTGACTCATCCCAGGTTTCCTCACTTCTTTGCAGCGGAAGGCAAGACTGCACTGCAGAGTATCAATGAAACCAAGATTACGAAGAAATCAGAGGGCAAGAAACCAGAATTCAGATGCCTCACCCAGGATTAGCCTTGTTGTGGTTAAAGAGGGACCCCTCGGTAAAATGGATGCAAACCCAGGAGGGCTGAAAGCTGAAAGCTACATTGTTGAGCCAGACTCCCAGGGTGAAGGGGGTCAAGCCAAGGTCTCTAAGAGAATTAGACCCATTAGGAGGAAGGGCAGTTAAAAACCAACAAGACGCCAACATTTCGGGAGGCGGGAAGCAAAGAATAAAAGAGAGCAAAAGTTTACCCATGGAAGTTAAACTTACTAATCAAGAAATAAAAATTTCATTCCCTTTAGGAGGCTGTTGCTTTCCTTTCTTCATTGGGTACTTACTTCCTCACTCTCCTTCCAAGCAATAAATCCTAAAAAAAAATTACTTGAGTCATGAAACAATTTCTCCATAAGTTTACTAGCTGGATGCTGACTTTTACAGCCAAATGTTTCTGAGCAAAAAACACCAAGGATGGTAATTGCTGGTCCCTCCCAGAACTGTGCTACCTGCTGAGATGAAAGAAACACACATGGCAAAATGAAGACAGCCTGAATCAGAAAGCAGATCTTTTCTGTGGAGGCTATGACAGCCCTGATTCCCCAAATACTCACCCTAAATTCTGCTGCAGGAAGCGCCTGGAGCAGGACGGCTTACTGAGCCATCTAGAAGCAGTGGACACTTGCCTGTTGCTCGTTAATTTATGTCATTCAAAACACGCCAGCCTACTGTTCAAAGTTGAAACTGTCTCTACAGAAACCATCAGCAGCTTATTTTGAAGTTCTCAGTGACAAGGCTACCAGGATATACTGCCACGTGATCTGGGCGGAGGCTCAGCCTCGCTGGTGTGCCTTTCAGTGAGGCGTTTCATGATGGAGTCTCATATTTCATCACAGAGCTCTGGCTCTTAAGCCATTCCCTTCACTCCTCCTCCCTACTCTCAGCTCTTGTCTCTTTTGTTTCAATTTCTTCTGTATTTCCTCCTCTAAGTGGTCTCTTTGACAGCTGCTTTTTTGGTGGTTTCTAGGAAAGTGAGTCCCAAAAATCCATCTTCAGAGCAGTGTGGGTTTAAGACTCACACGCGAAGTCTGTTAAGGATTCCCACAGGGGCTTTGCACCTAGAGATTCTGACTTGATAGGCCTGGGGTAAGGATCCAAGATCCATATCTTTAACAGATGCTAATCCATAGCCTGGTTTGCAAACCACTTTCCCAAGGGACTGCAGAAGCCTCTCCACCCCCCTCCTCCTGCCCCCAATGCAAAAATGCCTCCTCAGGACACAACCTCTGTAGTCTGCCTCGTTGTTAATCCTTTCAGTCAATGTCCATAGTAAAAATGTTCAAATAATCCAACCTACAGACTGGAGCATCCACATAGCTGCGACACGATCAGTGGGAAACAGCGATTTCCTCTCAGCGATAGACCCAACAACGTTCCTAAACATTAGAACTGAGCAAAAGTTCTCCATAATTAGTACATACAAAAATTGAAGTGTTGCTAGTTCTCCTCAGACAAAAACAGTTTATAGCCCCAAATGCATTTCAAATTTCTAGAGTATAGAGTTTAACAGCCTATGGGGTGGGGTCGGGGGGAAATCTCAACATAGTATAATAGAGAGAATTTAGGAGTGTCCCTGGGTTCTGATCTCAGCCCTGCTACTAATTCATTGTAAAAATTTCTGTTTGCCTCTATTGCTCAGCTATAAAATAAGAAAGCTGACATAGATCAGTATTCCAAAAAAAGGTCAGTCATTAAGTAGCACCTTCACGAAGCTAGCCATATGTGTGTACTCACTGACCTATTACATGTAAGGCAAGGATAATCATTATTATTAATGCCGTCCAAAGTATTTCTGTTTTCATTATTTATTCTTCCTTTGAAGTTTATTACCTTAAGGCTAGGCCTTGGGGTTTGTTGTTGGAGAAGGCAGCCCTGCCTAAAAAGAAGGTCTAGGCCTTGACTAAAGGTGGAACTGAATTATGATAAACTGGAAGCCCCAGAGGAAGCTTTTGTCTTGCTTCCTGTTTGAAGTTCTAGAAAGCAGAGTAAAATGGGGTGTTGTGAGTTTAGGCAGGCAGAGATGCAAAGATAGTACACACAAGTCTCTCTTTGTACACCTGTTGTGTGAAAGAGTTCCAGAAGTCCCCATATTCTCATAGTACTGGTCATGAACAGCACCTAAGAGTTGAAGGCCAGCAAGTCTTCCCCGGGATCATCGTGGCAACATGTGAGCTGACTGACCCTTTAGCAGAGAATATGGGGTATACAGGTCTACCAGAGACCTGATGAAAGACAAAACTAACACTCAGAGAATTTGCAAGGACAGTGAAAGTCAAGTGGGGCAAACCCAGTCCCAGAGGGTAGAGTGTGTTTGCCACTGGCCTTGACCATGCTGAGAGGACAGACTGTGAGCTATATCAGGTACAGATACTTCACTGGTGTACACCAGAGGTGAATGCCTGGAGATGAGACAGTTTGCACTTCTACCAGATTAGAAAAGCTGGCCAAGAATAGTTATTTGATCTGGTGAGAAAATACAAGTCCCCTTGCACCCAGATTTGGAGAAGAGGACAGAGGATATCTTTTGAAAGAGATAAA